CAACCTAAGTTATCTGTGACCCCCCAAAAACTACAGTGGTTGTGCCCCCTCCCCCAAACTATATTAGCTATTACTCCCTCCCTCAACCTAAGTTATCTGTGACCCCCCAAAAACTACAGTGGTTGTGCCCCCTCCCCCAAACTATATTAGCTATTACTCCCTCCCTCAACCTAAGTTATCTGTGACCCCCCAAAAACTACAGTGGTTGTGCCCCCTCCCCCAAACTATATTAGCTATTACTCCCTCCCTCAACCTAAGTTATCTGTGACCCCCCAAAAACTACAGTGGTTGTGCCCCCTCCCCCAAACTATATTAGCTATTACTCCCTCCCTCAACCTAAGTTATCTGTGACCCCCCAAAAAACTACAGTAGTTGTGACCCCTCTCCTATTATCTTGTCGAACTTTAGTCATCAAGAAACCACTCCTGTGAACAAGGATGGACAATGCACAGAGGCAACTGCGTAACGACTCGCTTGATCAGTGGCAGATATTGAAAGATATGTAAGAGATACGGCATTAATAACAAAATGACCGGACAACCCTCATACGACGCGTACAATGGCAGTTACGCGCAGGAACAACGGCAGTGGAAATATAATTGGACCGGTGAGAAGGAGAGAGACGAGTTTCGACTCCCCAGGTTCCGTCTTCTGAGGAAATAAAAATATAAGCTGCGTGTTCCAGCATTTACACGCGTCTATAAAACAGCATATTTAAACTAGATCAGAGACTAATCTACATCGTCATAGTTTACGAAATACATTAAGAGACACCCGAAATCCGAGCTGTACCGAACCCCGGCTGTCCAGGCCTCACACACAGGATTCGTCTCCGTTCATCGGCATGCGTCGCTACGTTTCTACCTTCCTCAACATTACTTTCATTAAAATTAAATAAGCTTCGAGTTTCTCCTTCACTATCTCTACCTATCCCCCCCCCCCCCGCCATCATCGTCCCTGTACATTCGGGTTTGTTGCGGCACCACGCTTCACATAGCGAGGACAATGTCATCTATTACTTGCCTGCTGACACGATTTCACACCTATGACAACCACACCTGTGCACGGATCCAGCCTAATCACCTCCCCCCCCCCCTACACACACACACAACACAGACAACAGGACATGTACGCTCAGCACCTGTGACCACCACGCAGGATCGTCACATCGTCATGTCGTCACATCGCAGCACTGTCACAACCTGCAGTCAGCGCTCGTCACCTACCGACAGGTGGCGCCGCGATACACCTCCCTCGGTCCTGATGCCCTACTCTACAGACTTCACCGAAGCGAAAGCCCACTCTCTACCACCTCCTGGTGTATAGAGTGGCAAGAGCAGGGAGCGTATGCGGCTGACGGCCCGGGTGACAACAAGGGAGCAGCCGATCGCGGAGAGAATGACCCTGTAATGACCGCTCGACGGTGGTGACCGGCGGTCAGTAAGCGGTCAGCGATGAAGGGTTTCGACTATCCGTGAAGCAAGGCTGCAACCTTCCTTCGCCGCCACTTGATGTCACCGCCATTGTCGTCACAACCATGACGCGCGAGCAGAAAACCATCTACACGTATGTCGCGATGGCATCCGTGTAGTGATGACCATCCTCCTACAGCAGCCATGATCGACACACATACAAGTGATTCACATACACACCTCAGCATCCCACCCAGTAACCACCCTCAGTCGTGGGGTGGGGGAAACACGCCCCCACCCCTGCACCACTACACAGTACGCGATTTGGTCGGCCCAGTATGGCACGTTATATATTACAAAATACACATTTATGGACGACTATTGTACATGGGAACGTCAGTAAAAATTCAATTTAACAGTAAAACCTACTCAGTACGTTAAAATTTGCTGAAGTCGTCACACGCATTTGTACCTCGTGCTAATATTCACATCGATCGATGGCAGTCGAAGCTTTATATTATACATCATCAATTCATTCTTACACGTTTAGACACAATTTTCCTCCCACACGGTTACATCATTGTAAAACTCTGTATGCTCTACAATTTGCATGTGAAATGCAATACATGACCGCGTGTGTACACAGTACATGTGCATGTTCACCCATGGTACATTTGCATACTTGTGTGTACAATAGCAAATACATGTATGTGTGTGGTGCATGGGCACACGCAGGGGAGATCAACGCATACACATACAGTGCATGCGGATGCTCAACTTCAGAAGATCCACTTATCTACATGTGACCTTCATCAATGACGCCACTTTGCCTTCTGTGCGAAGATGTCAGCCCGAAGATTTTGCGCAAAGCAGATGCCCATGATCTGAAAGACATAAAACAACGACCAGCTGTACAGCAGAGCAAAACAAAACGTGGCCAAACAAAGCACCAACTAAACCATTGAAAGAAAGAGATCAGGTGGGGTACACCACCTACCTCCAACTGATTTACAACGATCGTCAATTTTAAACCGAGGCAATACGTTAAAACCTCAAGTCACTAGTTTAGATTAGTATGACCAAGTCTCTCTGACGTGTAAATGTGAACATGATATGCACAAGTATGATTGGTATAGGTGGGCTTAGGGGGGGGGGGGGAAATAGGAATTTTTCAGCATGCCGCGTATGCGATACTACTACAATTATTTTGTAATTGATCATAAAAAACCATCGTATTTACATCGATGAGGTTCTCACCAAGTAGTTATCCACTACCACCTCTATCCACTTTTAAGCATAACGCAAGTGCTAGTGTGTAGCCTTACGCATTACGTACGTTCTCCCATCATCGTCCGCACATTTGCAGGTATCTCATGTGACTAGAAAAGCAGCTGCAGCTGCATTTACACTATTACAAGCGTCCATAAACCATCACGTACAATGTGTGCCGACGCGTAGGTACATGTGGACATGGTGTGCGATTACAAGACAATTAGATGCTGTGCATATTTATTCAGCAGGCAGGTGAACAAGTACTCAAATTCACAAGGGATTTATACTATCAGCTTACAGTAATAAATATCGACACACACACTGTGACATCACACAGCTCGAAAGAATCGTTCAGAGTGCCGCATTAACACAACATCAAAGAACTTATATAAGCAGAGTGTTAAACTAAAGTGATTACGTCACCATAAATAGTAAAAAAATAAAAAAATAATTTCCACTTTCACAAAATATAAGTAATTTTGTTCACTTTTTATGGTTAAATTGCTGCATTATACTTCTTATTTTACTATATTGCTCAATGTGAACATACACTCGTGACTCATAGTCATACATAGCCCATAGCAAGCAATTAATGTCAAAAATATAATATCAAATCGTCCAAGTTTTTTGGATTTTTAACTAGTTGAGAAACAAACTTATCAGGTAAGAATTTGACGATACGTTTAGTCCCGTTAGTTCTTACTTTTAATGTAAAAAAAATGGCAACAAAAATTTTGCACATTTTACCATCCACAAAATTCGTGACGTAGTCAATTTAAGTGTTGTCGAAAACTATAAGATATGATGAGTAGCTTGAAGCAACAACCAGACTGGGGGATGACTAATTAATTTAACTCAGCATGGGCTGTTTTTTGCTAAACGTAAACATCTAACTCTGCAAAGCATCCTGCGTACTCCACTATATGCACTGTTGCACAAGTGCTTGTAATTTGCATAATTTATTCGTAAGGTATTGGATTTTGTCTGTGCAAAACAAACAATGTGAGATCAGTCATAGCAATAGTTAATTCTTCTCCATTGTAGCCTCATAGGTGCCTAGATGGCACATATTAAAGGCAATAGTACACACTACACAGTTTGTAACTGATGGTTCAAAAAGTATACAGAAATTTCAAATATAGGGGAAATTAATTTTGCACTCTCTATGAAAGTTACGAGGTTCGGAAAGGAAATTGACAGAATCGAAATGACTGGACAGGCTCTTTGATGTAGTGATGATTCAGCTTTAATTATACATTACATTTGATAAATGATGTACAAATTGGTGGGTGATGCTCATCATGCTAAGATGTTTCGAGTGTAGACTACGAATTTATATGCAATGATATTCGGACTAATGACATTTAATTACAAGTAAACTTCAAACATGGGTTATAGATAATGGAGTATAAAGCTAAACAAATATGATATTTCAAAATTGATTAATTTGTCTACGTTACACTTTATAGTTGAAATATGGAGCACAATTTCGGCGCGGGTCATAGCGATTTATCCTAGATCATCTAGTAGTACTAGATGCATATTAGTAGGCCTACATTCTTACAACACAGCATTAGATTAGGGGCCTACATCAGGGCTGTCAACTCTCACGCATTGACCGTGAGACTCACGCATTTTGACCAAATCTCACGCTCTCACACTGATCTTACAATATCTCACGCACATCAAAAAAAGTGCTGAGATATCTCACGCATGAATATCATCTCTTCATGAATAAAACGCTGAAATATCTCACGCACAGCAAAATAAATCTTACAATATCTGAAAACAGTCACTTTAGTATGCACCAAATTGCACAAATTGAAGTTATAAAATGCAAAAGCTTCCTACCGTGGGAGAGGAAAACCCCCTTCCCACACCCCCTCGGTCGTTTCGCTCCCTCGCATCTCACTCTCACCTATCACCCAATGTTGGCAGCCCTGCCTACATGTGTCATGTGAGCAGAAAAGATTTTGGAGTTCAATAATTTTCACGTATAAATTTAGTAAATAACACAAATATATTATTGTGAAAGTATACTACATGAGTTGGCACTTACTTCCTCACTTGTAGCAATTCGAATAATTTTCAACACTAAACATTAACTTTGTAACTATAAATAAGCACAAGACAACATCTCTATGAACTGAGAACAGAACATACAGAATATACATGTACATGTACTCTATTCTCAGTTCATAAATAATTATTGGGGGGGGGGGTGTTTGTGGTGACACCTATATTGTTGTGTCCAGTCTCTTGTTTCCAACACAGACACCAAATACAGTACTGCAGACTGTCACTACTGCACTAGTCTACTGCACTGCCACTGGTAAGTTAAAAAGTAAATAAAAAAATCTCCAATTATAGTAAAATAACTCACGTTCACAATAAAATCAAACATTAGTAGTAACTGCAAAAATATTGATAAAGAAACCTTTTTAAGTTTATCATGCCATCTATTCAGTCTATGAATCGATCAAGTATTATGTGATATTGATAGTGATACTGATACTGATAGTGATAGTAGTATTAGTACTGATACTGACAGTGATAGACACTATTAGACAGTAGACACTATTTCTATTAGTATTACTATTACTAAGACAGTCACACTACACATGCTTCGTGATTAATGCATTGTCAAAGTCAGTGAGTCTGACAATACATATAAATTTCTCATGATTTTAATATAAGGTTAAGGAATATACACTCATTGACTGGTTGATTTTTTAAACGGTCTAAAGTGTGACTAATGACAAAATAATGCATGAGGACACCCCGGGCCCACATTTAATCCCCATGTCTTTTACGTACGTTTTTTTCTTTCTTAGCTCTCCGTCTCTCTCTCCCATGAGCAGCCTAACAGAACAGGACCCGGTTCCACAGTCGTGGATTAACTTTACAGAGTGGCTATATGCCCGGCAGCCGGCATATATCTGACGGCTGCCGGGCACGGTCTTCGATTTCCTAAATGCCCGGCAGTTTTTTAATTTTTAGCATTATCTCAAGTAAACAAGGGTTAGGGTTAGAGTTAGGATTAGAATTAGGGTTAGGGTTAGGGTTAGAGTTAGGGTTTTTGTTAAGGTTAGGGTTAGAGTTAGGGTTAGGAACTGCCGGGCATTTAGGAAAACGACGACCGTGCCCGGCTGCCAGGCATATAGCCACAGCGTTAACTTTAACCCTGAGTTACGGCTAACTGAGTTAAACTCACTAACTCTGAGTTAGTAAACTCCGAGTTAAATTTGGGTTTCATGAACATGGATTAAATCCTGAGTTAAGTAACTCAGAGTTAAATGTTTTAACTCAGAGTTAGTGTCCCATAATTCCACGTAGTTAGAACAGACGAACATGATAGACGCATGATAGACACATAGACGATAGACGCATGATAGATGCACGAACATGGTAGAAGGTGTAATGAAAAAACGTTATGATGAAAACCAGCAGCGATAAATAAATGAGGGAAAATATTTTGCAAATGCGGGGATTGAACCCTCGACATTCGCGTCATTAGCACTACGCTTTAACAGCTGCGGCTATTGCGAAATCGCAAAAAATTGTACATTTTCTCGTATTATCACAGTACGGATGCAGGGATCAGTGTTGGTACGCCATCAATGACCGACCAATGTACAACAAACGTAAACAGACACCGTATGTTCCAGCGCCAGCGGGGGATCGGACACGGGGCAGTACTAGATAATCTAATTAGCTCTAGTACTAGTATCCTAGAGCTAAACTAACCTCGTAAAAAATAGTCTTCAAAGTCTAAAGGATTACACCAAAGACTATGATATCTATAACTAAATCGAATGTACAACTTGATTTTTAACCCTGAGTTAAGAGTTTAATCTAGGTTCATACCAGAGTTAAATTTTAACTCAGAGTTAAAGTTAATCCACGACTGTGGAACGTAACTTAACTCAGAGTTAAGGAATTTAACTCAGAGTTAAGAGTTAATCCACGTCTGTGGAACCGGGTCCTGGACAACAGAACACGTGCAGACGGCATGGCCCTCATCCATGTGTCTTTCATGATTGTTTCTTTTATTTCCCGGCTCCCCCTCTCTCTCTCTTGCAACCGAATGAAACAGAACAGAACAATGCATGCGAACGGCACGTGCGTCATCCATGCATCTCTCACGAACGTTTCTCTTCCTTCCCAGTTCTCTCGCTCTCTCTCACAGCCGACCAGAACAGAACAGACAACGTGTGCGGGGACACCATGGCGACGGCGCGCGACGACAACGACGGCTCGAGCGGGCTGCGGGAGGCGTGCGGCGTGTTTGCGTGCGTGGCGGCGGGAGCGTGGCCGACCCACCTCGACATCGCTCATGTCATCTACCTTGGTCTCGTTGGGCTGCAGCACCGCGGGCAGGAGAGCGCGGGCATCGTGACGAGCGACGGGGAGTGCTTCCGCTCTCACCGCGGCATGGGCCTAGTCAACCAGGTGTTCACAGAGGAGACACTGCAGGTTAGGCTGTGTGGTGGGGGAGGGGAGGGAGGGTAAACCCTGCAGGTTAGGCTGTGTGCCAGGGGAGTGGAGGGAGGGTCAACCCTGCAGGTTAGGCTGTGGGGCGGGGAAGGGGAGAGAGGGTGAACCCTGCAGGTTAGGCTGTGTAGCAGGGGAGTGGAGGGAGGGTCAACCCTGCAGGTTAGGCTGTGGGGCGGGGAAGGGTAGAGAGGGTGAACCCTGCGAGTTAGGCTGTGTGCCAGGGGAGGGGAGGGAGGGTCAGGCTGTGGGGCGGGGAAGGGGGATTATTCAAGGTGGCTTGTTAAAATAAAAATATTTCCCAAAAAATTGAAAATTTTCAGAGCCTGTCGGATTTCAAATAACGAAACTCTATTTCGACCCCCGCACATTAAGCTAAATATAAGCTATGAACAGAGAAACTTGACGGCAAATTTCAGCTTCGATTTCATGGTGGCGCAAGGGGAAAAAATTACTAATTAAAAACTGAAAATTTCTATAGCAGGTCGAGTTTTAAATATTATTTTCGTTGCTCCTGCAGGTGAAGCTTAAGGGCAACCTGGGTGTAGGACACACGCGTTATTCCACGGCCGGCGGATCCGAGATAGGTAACTGCCAACCCTTCGTCGTGCACACCGCACATGGCCTCCTTGCCGTCGCGCACAACGGCGAGCTCATCAACGGTGGCGCCCTCCGGCGGCAGATCCTCGCGCGCGGCGTCGGTCTGTCATCGAGCTCCGACAGCGAGCTCATCACGCAGATGCTCGCGTGGCCGCCCCCTGGTGGCGAGCCGGACGGCGCCGACTGGGCGGCGCGCATCACGCACCTCATGCGGCAGACGCCGTGCGCGTACTCGCTCGTCATCATGCACGGCAGCGCCCTCTACGCGGCGCGCGACCCGCTCGGCAACCGGCCGCTCTGCATTGGCCGTCTCCCCGGCGACGACGACGGCGACGAGGGCTGGGTCGTCTCGTCCGAGTCGTGTCCGTTCCAGTCGATCGGCGCGCGGTACGTGCGCGACGTGGAGCCGGGGGAGATCGTGCGCGTGTGCGCGCGCGGCGTCACGACCGCCGCCACCGTCGCGCGTCCCCCCGCCGCCACCCCCGCTCTCTGCATCTTCGAATACGTCTATTTCGCGCGCGCCGACAGCCTCCTCGCCGGCCAGATGGTGCACACCGTGCGGCAGCGCTGCGGCCGGCAGCTGGCGCTCGAGTCGCCCGCAGACGTCGATGTCGTCGCCGCCGTGCCCGAGTCGGCGACGGCGGCCGCGCTCGGTTTCGCGGCGGCGTGCGGCGCCCCCTACGTCGAGGTGCTGACGAAGAACCGCTACGTTGGCCGCTCGTTCATTCAGCCGAGCACGCGCGCCCGCGCACGCGCCGTCGCGACCAAGTTCGGCGCGCTGACAGACAACCTCGCGGGTCGGCGCGTCGCGCTCGTCGACGACTCGATCGTGCGCGGCACGACGATCGCGCCGATCGTGCGGCTGCTGCGCGACGCGGGGGCCGCCGCCGTGCATATCCGCGTCGCGTCGCCGCCCGTCCGACACCCGTGCTACATGGGCATCAACATCCCGACGACGCACGAGCTGATCGCGAATCGCGTCGAGAGCGGACGCCTCGCGGCTCACCTCGGCGCCGACAGCGTCGCGTATCTGTCCGTCGGTGGACTGCTGGCGGCCGTGTCGGGACGCGAGGACGCCGCCGACGGATACTGCACCGCCTGCCTCACGGGACACTACCCCGCCAAGCTGGAGTGGTGAGGCTGCACCGCCCATGTTGCTAGATGCTACCTAGCCAAGCTGGAGTGGTGAGGCAGCACCGCCCATGTTGCTAGATGCTACCTAGCCAAGCTGGAGTGGTGAGGCTGCACCGCCCATGTTGCTAGATGCTACCCCGCCAAGCTGGAGTGGTGAGGCAGCACCGCCCATGGTGCTAGATGCTACCTAGCCAAGCTGGAGTGGTGAGGCTGCACCGCCCATGTTGCTAGATGCTACCCCGCCAAGCTGGAGTGGTGAGGCTGCACCGCCCATGTTGCTAGATGCTACCTAGCCAAGCTGGAGTGGTGAGGCTGCACCGCCCATGTTGCTAGATGCTACCCCGCCAAGCTGGAACGGTGACACAAGCCAAGAGGCTGACACTCTCACAAGACTAGTCCTATATTCTTTGTTCCATTACCGACCTACTACTAATGCGATTTTCTTTGCACGTTGAAGTCTGTGACGGTGAGGATGTGGGACGGTGGGGATGCCAAACTGACCAGAGTGAGAGACGCGACTTTAGTTTAATTAACACAGTTTTCTAACGTTAACTAGAATTAAAATTGTGTGCACGGTTTCTACTTGCTAAACAACGCTGTAATAAAGTTAACACCAACTAAAAATAAACCTAATCTAATTGATTCCCATAATAGATACGATTTCCTCGATTTAATTATTCAATTACACATGCAAATAATCACCGTGGCTGGCATGAAAACCTGACAGACCAGTACGAACATGCTGATACAACCAGAAGAGAGAGCCTACAATGAGTATTTGCTTTCCACAGCCGATGCTGAATGCTTGCATGTGTGTGCCCAAGCTTACTGCTGCCACCTACTGTGTGATAAAGCACAAACCATCCAAAGACAAATGCTTTTAATTCTACACACCTAAGATGATTTATTAACACAAATTCTAGCCATATTAACAAACCGACATTAACCATTCGATCTAGACGTGAGATTGAACTCTCATCCTCACAGTAAGTGAGACACGGGATGAGAGGCAGGAGGCGGGAGTTCTAACTTACCTGCAGGACTGCGATCCCGACAGCTATTCCCGCTACGAACATCAGATTCTGCATGAACCACTCCTCCCCGGCTTGTAGGCAGCCTGTGATGTAGATGACAGTGTCCCAATCATCCTTCTGGAGAAGAAACGACTGAGTGAAATATATACCCATCACAACTGGAAGAACTGCCAAAAACTGGACCGAGCCAGATTCCTGGAGTGGGTTCTACTCATGTGGATTTAAAACCCTTGATTCCAGTATAAAATAAAGTAACCGAACAAACAAAAAAACAAAAACAAACAACTACTTAACCAACTACACCGTGCATGGGAAGGCATGACGAGTCACGAAGACTGGAAATTTGCTGGTGAGGTGATACTGATGATTGTGGTAATGGTGGTGGTGAGAGGGGAAAGCACAGCTGTGATGGGCGTGTGATTAGAACTACAAACCATAACGACAATATTTGAAAGTTTGACAGATTTCAAATCTTTGTTAACCTTTTTTAGTTCTTACTAGGTTACAACTTTACAATGTTATTACTCAATTACGTAACAATTTATATTCTATTAATACAATAATAGTATTCGTGTCCATTCATAATTGAACTTTCATCAACGAACACAATTATTACGAACTTCATCTCACTACATGCATAGTAAAGTGTGCACCTAGCATGAGTATGGCCACATATACACCCTGTTGATACAAGTAAATAGTTTTAGAAGTAACTATACTTTACCAATATAGTAAGTGGCACCAGTACTTTTTCACATAAACATGCATACTCAATATGTTTTTTTTACCATTGTTCCCATCGATTAACCAAATATACTGCTGCATACAACGTTGCTGCATATTCATATAGGATTAAAATCGACACCTACGATTAAAATCTACAGGTTATTAAAGGGGACAGGTTTGGTCGTTGGATGTATAATTAGCCTAATTAGATGCCATCATTACTCTGAAGCTTGTTCAGTTTTCAGCTGCTATTTAAAAACTTGATAATGAGGAGTTTGACATACCTTATCACTCCTTCGCGCGTCGTACCCGCACATGTAATTAGTGATTTCCTGTAACGAACATGAATAAATTTCACTACTAACATTGCAATACATGTTAAGAGTTAAACAAACAGGTATGTTGCGATCAAAGGCCATGCAAATACTAATAGTACTACATCAGTGGTGTCGGGGATTAGAACGAAAGTTGCTCATATCACTCGTGTCGTTTAAATTGAACGTACAAACACAATAGGATATATCTACATTACTGCTGGTGCTTAACACTCCATGTGGCATGCACTGATAATAGACCATTATAGCAAATAGACTTCTAAATACACTAATCCTTCTGACCACTCCCACACCCACGGACAAACTTATGCAGGACTGTGGTAAGTAACACCTACCCATATCTGCTTGGGTTTACAGCAGGAGAAAGGCACGCCGCACGCTTCGCGACTTCCTATTGAGATCGACGTGCAGTTGAAGTATTGGTTCTTGTCCCAGTCGTCTGGTGTTTGGATGCCACAGCAGTGCAGCTGAGGGAAATTCAGCAGTTATGTTAAGAAATGCTCTGCACGTTATCATCACTCGCTTAGCCGTCATCTCTAAGGCAAATATCACACCTACGCAGACCCCACTCAATACCATGTTACCTACTGCCATGAACATACCTATGAAGATAGTACATACAGAATACTCGTGCACACGTACGCACGCACACACGCAGGCACGCATGTACGCACGCACACATGCAGGCACGCAAATGTTCACACTACTGCCTATACCTAATGAAGAAATTAATATAACTTATAAAATATATATCTCATATATATATATATATATAAATATATATATATAGCGTTAGTTACTGTATATAAATTTAGAAGCAGGATTGTACCTTCCATGTTATTATAAGAAAGTGTCAAAATGGTAATTTACCCATGATCCTTGTACCCAGTCTATTAGGTTCTGTAGATCTGGATCATCCCTGTATAATATTATGTATCTTTCTAACCCGTCTGAAACTTGATCTTTTACCTGCAATATCCCAATGACAGATTTTTGAAATGTCGATCTATATAGAACACAAAAATTAGTAAAAAATAATTGTTATTACACTTATATACTTATTACTCATTAATTAACTGCAACATGTGTACAATGCAGCTGAATTTAGTATCCGTAAATATATGTTGCATTTCCAACAATTGCCACACAGATTATTAGATACATGACTCAGCTTACACTGCAAATACCAGAGCTTGAGGTAATAATAGGTAAAACTGTATCCTGAAGGTTCACTCTATTATCTAAGTACAGATAACCATGTAACAATTCTTACACAAATCACTTACCCAGTCTTTATATACAAATCCGAGTATTCCTATACCTAGCTCGGCAAACAAAAGTATTCCTAAGAAGGCTGCATACTGCAAAAAACAACGAGGTTGATTAGGTGGTATTATAAATGTACCGTTAAAACACCTGGACTTTTTTGTAATTTATCGGCGTGGAATGTTTTAAGAATTTCACTACAGATTGAGATTTCCTAAGATTTCACTAAGCAAATCAGTAAAGATCTGTTAATAAAAGTTGATAAATTGTGCCTTCTGTTTATTATCAATCAATAACTGCAACTCTATTCAGTAAAGATTACTCAATTTTTTTTCTCAAACAGTGTTCAGGCAGCAGAGTATTTCTGTGAACATGCACGATGCTGCCCTCTATAGGGGATAACGAAAATATTTTATATTTAACCAAAAATATTCAACAGTTTCCATAAGCTCTTTATTCCACGTACATTCATTAGACGGATTTCTTGAGTTTGAAGTAACAAAGCCATACGGATATATCCCCAACACTTTGGGGGGGGGGGATAACTCAAGCTTCGACTGAAATCTACTTACAAAGAGCAGCAGGTAGGTGTTTTCTCGTAGGGCTCCCACGCATCCAGCGAAACCCATCACAAACGCTATGGCACCGACGAGAATCAGGACGAAGGCAGGATCGACTGCAACAGTAGCAACGTGTTACTTCACTGCAGCGCGCCACGTGTACGTACGGCTGACGACCGCCAGAAGTGACAGACACACCAGCCAGCTGTTACCACCACTCGCAGCCCTCTTCTGTTATTCTCACTTTTATCATTTAGGCAAATGTTTTTTTTTCAACAGAAACGTTGATCTTCATAACAAGTTAAAAGCAGTTGACTTGCTGCTAGAATATGAGTGATCCTTATAGACTAGTTTATATCGAAGTTGGAACTGACGTGAATTCAGACGCACTTATGAGTGTGAAATATATTTTAAACATTATTATTATTATTATTAAAGGCTCACAATGTGCATCCAAATGCCAGTTTTCTCACCTCTTTCTTGTGGGTTTTAAGCAAACGCGCAGTGAAATGGGAGCAACTAGAGTTTATTTTGTCATAAGGTAGTGTGATTATGCATGACACGAAGTATTTGCTAGTCTAGTACTGGAGAAATTAGCGCGCCAGAATTAACGCCGACTTGTTTGCCAAACAATTTAGCCTCGAAGCGGTTCGGTGACGTCTCATGTTTTTATCTTTGCTATACACTCGTACCGCTGTACCGCAGCACCGCTGTGCGGTTGCTTGGCAGGGAAACGCGAAAATGTCAACAACATTGGAAGTATTTACAAATACCTTTTATAAGACACCGCGCAGTGAAATGGGAGCAACTAGAGTTTATTTTGTCATAAGGTAGTGTGATTATGCATGACACGAAGTATTTGCTAGTCTAGTACTGGAGAAATTAGCGTTTGGATGCACATTGTGAGCCTTTAATAATAATAATAATAATA